GATCTCCCCATTCGGTTGGCTAAGCGTTAACACGTTGAGTGTCGCACGATTTTGTAGAGAATACGCAAAATGGAAATAATCTGATATCGAATTATGTAATTGAAATGCGGTATTATTATTGCAGGATTATCTGGTTGAATGTCACTACATTAGGCAGTATTGCTATTAATAGAGAAGTTTCCAGGTGATCATCGTTTAATTGAATAAATTATAGTAGTTCGATTTGGTTGAGGTCACCGGTGACCCCCATGGCATCCAACGTGTTGACCCATTGCACTTTTAGTTTTAAAATCCCTAAAAATGGAGTTTTTTTTAATTGCTTGTTTTGACTTGTTTAGGTTATGAAATATCGTACACAAAATCGATCATGTTATCTAGACAATACGATATTTTTGTTCATTGTATTACTGAAGAATAAACAAATGCATTAGTATAGTCTGTAAAACGACGGCTATTGCCGTCATTTGCAGCAATGGGTTAAATCTTTTAGCATCTGATTTTCTTTGCAATTGCACTCGCGGAGATTACGTTCATTAAGAGCTTACATCCGTCAATTCAGCGGATATTGAATTTTACAAGCGTTATCTGGTAAAAGTTGATGAAAATACGGACATATAATTTTCGAGGTTTATTGGAATTTAAATTTTCTCCGTCATTCTGAGTTCGGTAAATGAAGTCATGGCACGTGTATTCGTTATACATGTATGTGTACTCTGAAGTTACTGTTTAATTGGAGAATTAACCCTTTGAACTCTGTAGGCTTCAATATTGCACCAGAAATAATATTAAATATTTTAATGAATATTAAAGAAACTACCCTAAAGTTATTCGATTTTCCACACATCCAAATTTTGCAATAAGAAGGAAAATAAAAGATCGAAGAAATGTTATTTCTAATTTTCGCTAGGAATACTATAAAAATTAGTTGCGGTTGCTGATAAATTACAAAACAACCTGCTAAGGGTTAAAGACAGCATTATTCGATCTAACGTAGAAAATTACGTGACACGCGTAGAAACCTGTTTCTATGGTACTCTGTTCAATTTACCCCCATAAGGGTTAGCATCGTTCGTCTCTGTAATATACGATCACCCGCCGAAAATACCAGATAAAAATCTCGCGAAACTTTTCGAGCACGCACAGCGGCGCTCGTAAATTGCTGGATTCCGATGCGCGCGGTCCGGGGAAAGTTTCATGGGAGTTCGACCGATATTCCTGACACGGCGGTGTTTACTTGCTCCGGTGGATCATAAACGGAATTTAGGCCAGTTGCGAGAGACGCCGTACCTCGGTTCGACAAACCGAAATCTGGGCGGCTGAGCGATGGACAACGCATTCGAGTCGTGGATTTCCATTCGATTCGATAATAAAACAATGCGAGACCAAGGAAAAGTTTCACGAAACTGAGTGAAACGATCAAACGAACAACATATCTTTAATGCTAATCAGGACTCACCAATGTTTAACACATTAAGCCTTCAGCAGATGAAGTTAAATTATATACCGATTGCTTAAATGATAGAAAGAAAAGAAACTATACACAGATCTCTTGCTGTTTGAGTAATGGAATCATTTGTTTGCGACTTACTCTTCCAAATATGGACATTTCATCTCGCCGAAATGTCGACGTTCATCCACAAAGGGTTAATTGCTAGCCATACATTAATGTACCGATTTACATATGTAACGATTCCTTATTCTTCCTCGTAAGTTACAAAGTTCAGATCGATTGAATTGAAAATATATCAACATAATCACCGATGTTCACGTATCTAGTAGCTAAAATTCAGAATACAATGTGTCATCACTGCAACTGCTACGAGATCACTCAATGAGGCTAAGGAATTCGGCCGATTGACCAGCTTTTGTTTCTTCTCAAACAATTATCTATTGGTTCCATGTCCTACCGTCTAATATTTTAGATCCCCGATCTACCGTTCCCCAACAAAATAATCAATCACAACAAATCAAGGCGATGAAACTGTGAAACAGAATAACACATCTTCCCCTGCGCGATCAGCTATACATCATCACGCAACTGTGCGCGGGGAGGAAAACGCGGACTACGCGGTCTGCCTAGCGAAAGCAGACGCGAATCGCGGAAAGCCTGATTCCTCGGCGTAGAGGAGCACCGATTGATTTACAATGGGTCGAAGGTGTGGCTGGATCCGACACCAATATCGCGCTGATACTCGGCCGCGTGGACAATTATCCTGCCGGACAAAGGCTACGGGGGTGTAACGCGGCGATCCCACACGTGCACGCGCAGAGGCTAGCCTAAGGCTCTTTACGCAGCTGACGCGCCTCGTATTAAGAATCGCGTGGGCCCCCGCACGTGCGTGGGCAAACACCCGCACGTTACAGCCACACGCAACACCGAAAGAAAACTCGAACGTTCCTCCAACGCGCGCACCGCTAGAGGAGGTGCAAGGACCTCCCGATATTTATCTGCCATTGAAAGCAACGCAGCCGCCGCGGAAGAAACTCGCGGGACAAAGGAACGCGAACGGTCGGCATTTTTCCCGGGAAATTTATACGCCGCTCGGCGTAATTATTCTTATTATTATTCGATACGGTAAATATATAATGGCCCTTACGCCCGCAGAGGAATTATTAACGATAAAGTCGTTCTTACGAGACCGGCCACGGGATAAATCACACGACGAGAGATTAAGCACCGTCCGGGGACAGTATCTTTGACCGGTCGGAACGTCTTCGTGAAACACGCGTCCGTGAAATCGGCTAATTGGATCCTTCCGTGTTCTCTGCGTTTCGAGTAGTTAATCGTATAATGATCACATGTACAATTCAGATGTATATTAACACGTTGAATGCCGTGGGAGTCACCGGTGACAACCAAGCAAATCGAATTACTATAGTTCGATCAATTAACTGTTGATTAGTTGAAGAGATTTGTATATTGTAAATAATGTAATGCAGTGACATTCAACTAGATGAATAATAATGGAATTCAATGAAATGATTCTATATTTTTTCCATTTTGTGGATTTTCCATCGTGCGGCATTTAACGTGTTAAATGTACGTTTTGGAATCATTAATTAATGTTGATAGCGATGGTGTTCGATAAAGTTTAGTGCCAGCTGTGAGTTCTTCAGTATTGTATAATTTAAAGTACTTACATCCACATGTTTTGCAAGTTTGAACCTACTCTTCAGGTAGTTTCGTTGTGTCTAGTGATAATGAGGTAGTAATCACTGAGCATTCATCGAATGAAACAGAGCCATCAACTGGTCTTCAAGGTATAGATGAATAATATTCGAGTAATGGGTGCCATTCATTCATTCTTCAGCGACAGGTTTATGTCCCCGCTTGCCCCACCTATACGCGATCAACAAGATGATCCGGAATCGCTTTGTCTCCTCCTCTTCTTCCTAAATGGAAAGATCTTTTACAGTTCCTGGCAAAATTCAATAATACACGTGTACATTTGAGTATCACCTTGCACTTCGTAGACGTTAAATGAAGATGGTAAACGGCAAATGAAGTATTTTTAATGATAGAGCAAGTTCATTCAGTTGACTTTTTAATTTCTAGGTGATACGTAATTTTTGCGAAGTAAAACGCGAGATTCTATTCCTCTTCCTCATAGTACGATCTGTAATTAAAGTAACAATATTTCCTTTAATCTAAATATTTCGATTAATACACTATAGGTCGGTTAATTATTGACAAATGAATGTACAAAATGAAATTAATTTGGAACGTTAGTACTTTCTATAGGAGAGATGAACAAAAAAATGTCTATATTAAATGATTCTTTATATCCACCGTGATTTTTAAAATAAAAGGAACGAAATATTTGGAGAGCTTCAAATGTAAAACGTGCTGCCATCTAGTAATGCAACGCTACACTATGTGATAGATGTAAAATATATTACCAACATTAGGTTTACAGTCTCCTGTACTCCAATGTATCATCCTATGGTATAAACAGAAATGAAAGACTAAAAGAGTCCATATCGATGTCTTGTCGATCTAGAAATTCGAAATTCAAAACTGATTACCGAACGGTTTATAGATAGAATCTGTTAAATAACTAATTCCTGACGAGATGTTGAAAAGTAAAGATAAAAACAATTGTTGATACTAAATGAGAAAGAATAACAAATTTATTTATGCTTACGTTGTCCATCCCTAGACATAAAGAAAGGTAACGAGAATGTTGAAAAATCGAACGCGATGGCAACCAGTGTACTGATTAGGCTGTATATACTATTAAAATTGTAATACATATAGATATGTGCACATACATTTAGCATATAAAATATTTATTAGAAACTTCTTATACAATAAAAAATAATATCAATACATCAAAATTACAATGTAATGTAATAAAAATGTTTAATATGGTTACTTAAGGTGTTGTACAGTTTTTAAGTAATTTCGAAGATTCTTTTTCAGGGTATTCAATCAATGAACACTGAAATTGTTCTTGGAAAACACTCTTAAATAGTGGCAATACATCATGAACAGTAACATTTCTTTGCAATTCTTTAGTGATACTAGTTACACTTTTCCCTTCTATACCACAAGGCACAATGTGGTCAAACCAGCTCAACTCAGTATTACAATTTAAAGCTAAACCGTGCGTTGTTATATAACGGCTACCATGAATGCCAATAGCACATATTTTTCTGTCGTCTACCCAGACACCAGTATCTGCTGATGTTTGGGCGCGAATACCATAGTTCGCACACAAACGAATTATCATATGTTCTATTTGACAAACGTACCATTTAACACTTTGCTTAAAGTCTTTCAAATTTAATATGGGATATGCCACTAACTGTCCAGGCCCATGGAAAGTTATTAGACCACCTCGATTTGTTCTAAAAAATTCTGCACCTAACTCTTTCAGTCTCTCTTCTTCTTTTACAGTGTAGGCCTTATCTCTAATACCAACAGTATATACTGGATTATGTTCAAGTAGGATTAATGTGTTACAAACATCTTTTTCTGTCTTCTGATGGTGACGATCAAATAATATTTTCTGTAATTTTAGACCAGCAATGTAATTTAGACTACCAGCCCACAAAACTTTCACTGATTTAGAAGACATAACGGTACTATAGTGAAATGTCCTTAGTGTTAAAATCGTCAAACACCATATTATATTTTCACATACTTAATGAACTTCGACATTGTCAACATGCTTAAGATTCTCTTCATTATTTATTGCATTGGCTTTATCCTGTATGACCTTATGTAACAGCCATGAGACCTGCAAACAAATTTGCACTTCTGTAGATCTTCATTTATAATAAATTAGTGGCAAAATGAAATACATACATAAGCATCAGTTGCAGCATAAATTTTCTGATCTTTACTTAAGGGATGTATATGCCATTGACTCATTCTAACTTTGCGATTTTTATCAATCTTTTTCTTTAACTGAAATAAAAAAACATGCATTGAGTTGCACTAAGTAACATTATTTAATTACACTAACCAAATATGCTGTTAATTTTTCTAAACTCCAACGACAAGATCTGTTAAATGTTCTGTTTGCAAACGTGCCACTATCCATACAATTATTTTCTACAACCTTTTCGGCTGGGAATTCCTTAAAATCCCTGCCTAATTTCCAAACATCACTACAAAATTAAAAAATTAGATAATGCATATACTAAATTATATACTATCATGACATAAAAGTTGGGTGACTTACTTCTTAATATTTACTCCAACCAGTTTTATCTTTGGATGACTTAAAAGTACTACAAATGCAGCAGGTAATGTTTTTAATGAATATATATGCAGCAAATGACAAACAGTATCACTAAGACAAATTTGAGCTAAAGCAGTTTTTCCACTTCCAGTTTGAAAACTAAAAGGCCATTCTAAATCAAATCCTATTGGTACTATGTCATTATCTTGTCTTTCTATTTCTGTTCTAAAAATATCGTCAGAAAAAGTAATGCAACCATTAACAAATGTTTATGTCTGCATGCCAAGTTTCTGGTTACATATAATGTATAACTTACATAATGTTATCACAAATCATAGCACAAGTATTAAAATCATTTGTATAATTTATATGGCCCTTAAATACAATAGGTGACAGAAGAGAGATATCGGGCTCTCTTTCTATAATTGGCTTTTCATCATTTCTTTCCTGTAAAAATAATTACAATTAAGGATCAAACTTTACAGCCTACATAACTGAATTCTTTCCTTGATTATAGAAGTATTTTATCTACAAAACAATTCATATTTTTCTAGCGCACAATTAGTATTTCAAGTTTCTCTCACGAAATCTTAATTAAAGAACACTAAAAATACAAACTATTTTCTCTAGTTGAAACACAATTTCCATAAAATCAACATTTTAACCTACTACTAAATGCGCGGGAAGATTCCTAGGAGATCGTCGCACTGTAAATTCCTTAACCTGTGTTGTCGGCTAAAAATATAAGTTTATATAATACCCACAGTATTGCTAATAAATGTGATTGGATAAGTAGATTAACCTCTTGAGATACATTAATGAATGGTAGTTGTCTGTTACGTATACCACGTGTTTTCATGATGATAAAAAGATAGTACTTGTTTAACCAAATAGTTCAATGAAAATTAAAATAGTACAGTCTCAAAATATTAACTTGCACACTGTAATACTTCAGTTAATTAATATTAAAAAATTCTTCCACTAATTGCGAAGTATTAAAACTGAAAACTGCGTGCGACCAATATATAAAATTCAACCATAATTACATCAAACTCAGGAGACTTAGCGAGACGTTCGGGAGCAGTGAACTCAGGCAGCTTGTTTTTAACCTTATCAGCTAATTCGTATTACTACTTCTCTATTTGAAGTCAGTGGATTGTATTAATAAATAATAAGGATAGAAGAGGAAGAGTTGAGGAAGTTGCACAATTATGGGGGCAATATAATATCTAATTATTTACCACCTCACAAGCAAAACTATGTAAGTACCTTTCACTGGTATTCATTTCATACTTTTATAATCAACACATCAAAGAAGAGATAAAAAGGATTCATAATAAGGAGCACAATAAAAATTAAACGGACAACATACGTGAATGCAGAATTATATTTCTTATATAATAAATTACATAGTTATGGAAACTATTACAAAACTAGAATTCAATCCAATAAAGTGATAATACAATTAACAATACAGTAAACAGGTTCACCAAACATTGCTAGGTTTCCTATACACATCAAACTTCTGTTAAACAGTTTTCCAAAGATTGAATTAATAGAATTACCTTGTCATACTTCAAAAAAAATAATTATTATTATAGGAGGAACACACAGCAAACTTCTAATACCATAAATATAACATTACAAATAAGCAGGAATGTTTGACACCTAAACACTGTAAACTGCAAAATGTTCTCGTGTTATGAATGAGAAAACCGATGTATGTTTCCAATACACATTATCAATCAGCTGTCTCGTTCAAAGCCAATTACTCATTTGCAGTAAAATCACCATTCCACATTTATTGCTTGCAATATCCAACAACCTTAAAAAAGAAAATAATAAACGTATATTCGAAATTATTAGCAATTCATGATCTGAAATTTGTAGTTACATACTCCGCACTGACGAGCATTTTCATCACTAGCACACCAATATGAAGGACCCCATGTACACTTGTCTCTTCCCAATTCTTGTTTCTGACAATATTCAACAGTCTAGAAAAACATAATCCATGTATATAAAATATGAATTCTTAGAAACCTATAATATAAAATTCGTATAAACTTACACCGCACTGCTGAGCATTTTCATCACTAGAACACCAGTATGAGGGTCCCCATGTACACTTATTCTTCCCTAAAGCTTCGTTTTTGCAATATTCAACAGTCTAGAAAAAAGTCATGCACATACCACATAAATGATTAAAAACCAATACTGCGGAACACACGATCACTTACCCCGCAATTACGAGCATGTTCATCACTAGAGCACCAATACGAGGGCCCCCAAGTACACTTATCTTTACCCAAAGCAGTACTCTGCCTCAAACTTTGTTTCCGGCAATATTCTACAGTCTTTAAAAAAAATAATGCACATAGGTTCCGTATTATTGACAACAAATAATGTAAAACTAACGCGCACTTACTCCACACAGACGAGCGTTTTCGTCACTAGAACACCAGTATGAGGGTCCCCATGTACATTTATTTTTTCCTAGAGCTTCGCCTTTGCAATATTCAACAAGCTTGAAAAAAATAAACTATGTATACATCATATAAGTAATTACAAATAAACACTGCGAGATGGCTGGTTAACTTACTCCACACTCACGGGCATGCTCATCACTAGAGCACCAATACGAGGGTCCCCATGTACACTTATCTTTCCCCAAAACAGGGCTCTGCCTCAAACTTTGTCTCCGGCAATATTCTACAGTCTATAGAAAAAAGAGAAAAAAGCAATCCAAATACGTCCAGTATTATTGAAATGGAATAGT